GTATTTTGGAACCATTTCCTTCTAGTGATAGTTACACATTCTTCTTATATGACTACATACTGTTTTTACTCTCAGAATAACCATTTCTCTAAGTTTGGTGGCAGTTATTTTGCCTATATGCTTATTACTACAGATTATTCTTTTGAAAAGTTTGGCCATAAGAGGAAGGAAGTTGCTGGAAATATTTTGGTCCACAAGAATTTATAGGGTAAATTTAAGCGTGCTTTTAGGCAGAGAAGTAGTTGGTGAAGTAAGGGAGATTATTTTAGAGAGACAGTGAAGCTGCAGAGCCTTAGAGATGGGTGGTAATGGAGTTAGTAGCACAGAATATAGAGGAAAGCACAAGATGCTTTCTTTTTTCTTAAACAGGGGTGGGAAGATGAATGAGAATACCTAAAAGAGAAATTGGAAATTGAAAGGAACATATGGCTCCAGAAATGGGGAGATGGTAAGAACAGATACTTCTGCCAAGTGACCTAGGTCTTTTCTGTAAAGTAGATCGTGTAGAATCTTGAAAGCTGAGCTGGGGAGAGTATAATTGATATTATGGGCAACAAGGAGCTATTGTAGATTTCCTCACTGGGGAAATGGCAAGAAAACAGTTTTATATTAATTTATTTGTGAAAGAATACATTGGTAGATGATAATGCCCTAAAGTAATCAAGGTTGATAAGGCTACTTTGAATGAAATGCATATGGACGTAGGATATTGAGAATGAAGTGAAAGAAGAGTCCAAAATGATTATAAGGGGTCACCTTGTTTGGGAGTTAGGGGTAGACCAAAATTTGCAAACGACATGAAATGTTCTTCACGTACTATGTCTGGCAACATTATTTTAGGTATGTTTAAATTTGTTACATCGCTTAATAACATTATTGAGTGTGGAAGAAAGTTGTTGGGAAGAGTAGCATGTTTGGAAGAAAAAAATTAAAGGGGGATAGATATAGTTGCAGTTATTTCAGATCTCATGAATTTCTCCATTTGGTTCCTGCCCTTATTCCCTGTATCATTCATTTAGATTGAGCCAAATATGTGCCATTTTATTCGTTTATTAGTGTTACTTGTTTTTTTTTTTTTTTTAAGGCATCAAAACTTCCCATCTCCATTTAAGACCTTTGGAAAGGAGACCTTGTCATAGAATGTGTTCTCAGTATCTGGTATTTTGCTCTGTACATATTAGAATCTCAGTAAATTTAAAGCTTCCATTGTATTACTTTAGACTGACTGAATTTAGCATGTAGCAGGTACTTAATAGCTGTTGAATGAATAAGTGAGTGAAAGCTGTTATGAGAAATACAAAAGAAGACTATCTTATTTTCAGATACCAAGATAAGATACAGGTACATGAAATAGTAAAATATAAAAGACATGAAATAAGTCCTGGAAGAGAAGGAGTCATTCTGGATTCTGGGCGTGATTTACTAGTGATTAGAACCAAGGGAAAGATTTTTTCAATATAGAGAGGCCTCTTTATGTTTAAAGTTGGGAGAATAAAGAGAGAGTGATCAAAAATGAGGAATACCTCAGTATAATTAGGAGATATATATTAGAACTAGCAAGAATGAACCAGCTTGGGCAGTGGAAAGGGGTGAGGAAGCATGGGCTCTGCCTCTTGATAGGATGTTGGGGAAGAAGTTAGATGAATATACAAGGTAAATATGACATGGGAGTCATGCCTGATGGCTTACCCAGTCTCAAAGTGGAGATCCAGAGGGAGCTTTGATCAGTGGATGAGCAGGGGTCTTAACAGCTTCAGGTGGAGAAGCGTCTGGGTTTAGTGAAATCTTATGAGAGAAGTATGAGTAGGGTGATTGACAGTATTGATGGTATTTCTGGTTTGGTAGTGAGAAAAGCATTGAAATTCAGGCTCTCAAATGTAGGCAGGAGGTTGTACATGGGACTAGGTGAAATGGTAAAGATTAAGCTATGGGGAAGAAACCAGAGGTTTTTCTTGCCTTTGTTTTTTAATCTGACATACTTCCTAGCCTATTGATTTTCTTGATGTTCCAATGAATGTTTCAAAAATCCAGCAAACCTGTCTTTTCAACTATCACACATCTGCAAATGCCTGCTTTGATTAACTATACTTTGTTTTATTTTAGGTGAAAAGTAACACTGAGTACTTGATTTTCTTTTAAAGATAGTTCTCAAGGAAATAGTAGGGAACTTATAGATGAATTGTTGTCTCTTCTGTCATGCTTAAGAAGTTTACATGTTTTTATAGATTATTGTAGTCTTTCTTGGGCCAAAGAATATTCATTTTCCCAGACTTTTTGCACCTCATTCTTTCTAGTTGCCTTGTCATTTTCATACCCATCTCTTTATGTTTATGGATTTACCAACATCCTTTCTAAGCACCTTAGGCTGGACCGTATACTTTAGTGTGTGGTTGTGTTATATGTAGAGATTACTTTATTCCATTTATGAGTGATAGGCCTGTTGGACTGTTCTAAACATGTAACTTGCTATGTGCCTATTGGTATTCACAATGCTTTGATTCATTGATACTTCTAGGTTTTGGTCTGTGCTTTCATAATGTTAAAAGTGTACCTTATATTTGTCAATGCTAGTACCAATATGATCACTTTTCATATATATGAAAATAGATAAAAGGTTCAGATATATGAATTAATGTTTTTCACTGTGTGCACATAAAGGTTCTTCCTTTGTTTGTGAATAGCTTCTTATTGAAGAACTTATTTGTGAATCTGTCTTACACTCTACTCGACACTTTTGCTGAAAAAAAGTTGGTCTCATTTTTTTAAATTAATAAATTAGTTAATTTATGGCTGCATTGGGTCTTCATTGCTGTGCGCAGGCTCTCTCTAGTTGTGGCGAGCAAGGGCTACTCTTTGTTGCAGCACACGGGCTTCTCATTGTGGTGGCTTCTCTGGTTGCGGAGCACGGGCTCTAGGCGCACGGGCTTCAGTAGTTGTGGCACGTGGGCTCAGTAGCTGTGGCTCGCTGGCTCTGAGCACAGGCTTAGTAGTTGTGGCGCACAGGCTTAGTTGCTCCGTGGCACGTGGGATCTTCCCGGACCAGGGCTCGAACCCGTGTCCCCTGCATTGGCAGGCGGGTTCTCAACCACTGTGCCACCAAGGAAGTCCCCGGCTCTTTCTTACTGCTGCATGCTATGTTTTCATGGTTTGTTTGTAATTTATAAGTTGACAGAAATGTTGGAACTACTTTTTGCTGCAACATAAGACAGCAGTTCAGCAGCTGCTTAGCCTGTTGTCGTTTCTCCTCATCTCATACCCAGTTTCAATAGTTGTATTTCAGTAAACATCACTTCAAAGATGGTAACATGTCTGTGTTCCAAAGCCTTGTTGGAGGTGACCTTACCATTCTATTTTATGTTTCAAATAATTACACCAAAAGAAGCCATAAGAATGGTCATTAGTACGATTCTCTAACCTGATAGAATTATTAGCTAAATAATCATTTACAGTCATGTTTTTATGCCTAGGTTCTCCTTGATTTGCAATTCTCACGCCCCCCACATTTCAGGAATTTTTGAAAACTTCCAGTTCTTTATTTGGTTAGTTTGAAATTCCTTGCTTATGTTGCATTTCCCTCATGAACCCCTCTGCACAGCTCTGTCTTCCAGCTTTACACTATGAGTCTGTAAGATGTTTATAACCTTTTGCACCCCCTTTTTAAGTGTATGTTTTGAAAATGTAGCCATTAACACATTGTATTTCCTGGACTATTATCAAGATTTTTTTAAAAGCTTATAAACACCAGAAATTTATTTCTCACTGTTCTGGAGGCTGGAAGTCCGTGATCAGGATGCAAGTATGGTCGGGTGAGGGTCCCCTTCCAAGTTGCAGACTTCTCGCTGTGTCCTCACATGGTCGAAGAGTCAAGGATTTTTAATGTATTTCAGAGCTTGTTGAGTTGAAAGTTTCTTAGTTTTAAGATACTTGTGTTTTCATTTCAGGGATAGGTTGAAAATGTAGCACAGCAGGATGACTGTGCGCCATCAGTTCTGATGAGAATTGATGCTACTGTTAATGATCCTCCATATAGAACCTCCATATATTTTTTAAATTAAATTTTTTTTTTTTATTTTTGGTTGTGCCAGGTCTTAGTTGCTGCTCGCGGGCTCCTTAGTTGCGACATGTGTGCTCCTTAGTTGTGGCACGCGAACTCTTAGTTGCGGCATGCATGTGGGATCTAGTTCCCTGACCAGGGATTGAACCCACGTCCCCTGCATTGGGAGATGGTTTCTTAACCACTGTGCCACCAGGGAAGTCCCCATATTATTTTTTAGGACACGCAGCTCTTCACATTTGTGAGAACTGAGATCTAAAGATGAGATAACATTGTTGACATCTTAACATTTCTTGTTATCATGTAGCTAGAATTGTGTCTTGTACATAGCAGGGGCCTAAAACCATATGCAGTTCTATAAACACACATTTGATGATGGTTGTAGAGGCCAGGAAAATACTGGCTAAGATATTGCCAAAAACGTTGAACTTAAAGATAATTAGATTTCATTGTTACTTTATCATTCCTTTTTGATGAGATTACCTTTTAGAATTTTGTGTTGTTTTTGTGATGTTTTGTAAATTGAGAGAAACCCATCATGAAGTCTGAATACCCCTTTTATCCCCCAGTATTTTATTGATTTTGGAATTTAACCTTTTTTTGTGCCTTTAACTTTAACATCAGTTTCCTTAAATGTGGGAGTGAAATTGTGTGCTCACTTCTCCTTTATTCTGCTAGGTCTTAATTATCTTTTCGCAGGACATTTTAATCTTTTTATTTCCAGATAAATTTTTGTAAAATCCTAGTTTATTCCCTCAACTTATATACTGTTGATTCTTATATATCAATTACATATTAATGAATTCTTCAACACACTCTTGCACACACAAATAATCATTTTGGGAGCACCTGTAGGTAGGTTTAGCAAAGGATTAAGCATGCAATGGCTTTTTGTCACAATAGACTTTTTGTTTATTTCTAAAATTGGCTTTTTTTTTTTTAACAGATAAGTGTAAAGCAGGAAATTACTTTTACTGATGTATCTGAGCAACTGATGAGAGACAAAAAACAAATCAGAGAGCCAGTAGACTTACAGAAAAAGAAGAAACGGAAACAACGTTCTCCTGCAAAAGTAAGAGAATATTTTAAGGTGGTGGTTCCTAACATATTACTCCCATACAATTGCTTAATCTTATTGGCAGGAATCTGGCTGGACCATAGGCAACATAAAAGTCTCATATGGCTTAGTAAAGTTGGAATGTTGCATCAGCTTCACCAGGAGAAAGGAAGGGATGCTTGCCTGAATAGAGGTGGTGGGCCACTGCTTTAAATTTTTCCACTTCCCTTTCACCGTGTTTTTTTTTTTTTTTTTGAAAACAAACTTTTCTTGCCCCGTGTCTCTCTTTTCTTTAAAAACTTAACAGATGGTATGCAGTGCCCTTGCTTCTCATTCATATTAGTTTTACTTATGTTAATATATGGTTTCAGGAAAATTCAGTATTGATTACTCATTAGGAAAAGGTTGTGTGATAACTGTGCTAGAATAGACTGTAAGCTCCACGAGGGCAGGGACTAATTTTATTCACAGCTATATCCTAAGAGCCTGGAATAGTAGGCCTAAGGGACTCTCAATAAATACTGTGGGTGAATGAATGGATTAATAAATAAACGACTGACCCGTAAATACTATTAGGAATTGCCTGCCTTTTTTCCTTTTCAGTACAGTAGTAGTTGACTATATGTAGCATTTTGGTATTCCAGGGAAGTCTTTGAACTCTGTATAGTATAATTTATATCTTTATAGTTATTTTTCATCTTTTGTTTTCTTCCCTTGTGTAGTGAAGAAGGCTTTTTAAAAAAGATTTTATAACATGACCTTTTTATTTTGAGGGCTGCTTGTTTTTGTATTTGTATTTAAATCATAATCATCATCATTATCTGTATACTTTTGGACTCAAATGGTGTGCTGAACCCAGTTTGTACTGGCTTGCCAGAGCTGATTGCTGAGTTTTCAGGAATTTTGCAAGCTGGTGCTAAAACCATTGGTAGCTTGAAATTAGGCATGGTGAGAATATTTACACCATGGAAATTAGCAATGCAGCCCACTGACTCCTTAAACTGTTGTTAAACATTTACCAACATACCACTGCTTTTGGGATATATAAGCGTGGCTACTGTTTGAAAAATATAGAGACTAAAATAACCCATAGTTACATTTCCTAGAGATGAATACCTTAATTTTCTGCAATATTCCCTTTCTATTTTCAAATTTGTGTGGATTGTCTGAATTTCCTGATTTGTAACTTAAAGAGTATGTGAGCTGTTTTTAAAGTTATTAAAGATTTTTTATAATGATTTTATTACCTGCATAATGAATGTATTATTTTTTGATATATCACATTATATTCAGTGATTGCTCTGTTGTTGGAAAGTTGTTTTCTCTTTGCCTTCATTTTAAATCATGCTGCTCTTGAAATATTTGTGTATGGATCTTCGTGTACTACTAAATCAAAGGGCGTGAACTTTTAAAAAGGTTTCTTTAAAAATAAATGAGTACATAAGCAAGGAAGCAAGCAAAATAAGTAAAGTTTCTTGATAATGTTACTCCTTCCAGAAATGTTGTATCAGTTACATTGCTGCCTGCAGTGGACCTAAGGTGTGTTTGTCCATACTCTCACCAGCCTTGAGTATGAAACTTTGTTTTTTTTGTAGCTTAAGATGGGTGTCTCATTATAGTTTAAATTTTAATTTCTTTGGGTATTGGTCATACTAAAACTTGTGTTTTTTTTCATAATTATTGACATTTTATATTTCATGTTTTGTGCTATCCCTTTATGCCCCCCTTCCTTTCTTCCCTTTCTTTTCTTGAGGTTAATGTTTTTCTCAGTGATATATGAGACTTTTAAAATTTTACATTAATGAATACATCAAGTTCTTTGAGGAAAAAGTTAATTTCTAAAATTGAGATAGTGATTATGTTACTTTGGGTTCATTGCTGATCTATGGGGAATCTATTTCAAGTCTTTAAAAATAATATATGTAAGTTGTACATTTTCCTTGATGTTTCATTGCCATGTTTTTCTGATACTATTCTTGAGTATAATTCTGAAATTCTGACTAAAACTCAGATTATTATCTTCTAGTAGGGTTTTATTTGGAATCTTTATATGTTCTAGGTAGTACAGATCAGATTTTTACAGTTTAAGCCATTTTTGCTTGTCTAATTTGAGATAAAGTCATTTATAATGTATTATCAAAATATTTCTAAGGACATTATTTAAATATTTGTATATATATCTGTGTAGTTGCTAGATGAAAGATTTGGCCTATTCTGAGTATACTGTATATAAGAAAATGTTTTGGGCAGTCTTTTTAGAGCAGTTCTTAGGAGGCTGAAATGACTGGAAATAATATATGGCAGACATGGATGTGAGAATAACAAAAACAATTATTTTTAGATTGTCCTGACCTGTTACATGTAATAGGACAGAGAATGGTTGTGGTCTGTTTTTAACACTGGTCTTGCAGTGTCCAGATGAGTGGTTTTGTGTCTGGAGTCTCAGAACTTTGAACATGTGTTTAAATATTCACACTTCTGATTTTTCATTAAAGTAACTCTCCCCTTTCTGTATGAAGAGAAAGAAAACCTTATCTCATGTTTATAAATCAATGTGTTGCTTGTTTTAAATTCCTTAAAAACAGCTTTAAGTTTCTCAATTAATTGTAATGTATTATGCTTAGAGGACTCCACTCTCTGGAAACACTTTTCCCAAATCTTGGATTTTGCCATTACTAATATTTTGAGTATATGTTACCATTGTGTCATGTTAGATTGGGGATCTGTACAGGAAGTATCACTGAAGTTATCTTATGGACTTTTAGTAAAAATATTAGAGCTTACACATCCATGTAGACCTGGTCCCTTCCAACTAAGCTTTGTGGTGAGAAATACTGTAATGTTATGTCATTTTTAGCTGCCATGAATTTTAAGCAGTAGTTTGCTTCCTGAGCCTTTATCATATGGCAAAGCTTAGTCATCTTAAGGTAGATTTGACACTTGAAAATTGCCAAAATACGTTTGGCAGCATGTCTGAAGAAGAGGGTAATCAAGGTAGGGAATGTTATCTTGATCAAGTTATTTGATACTGTCATGGAATAAGTTGTTTTATGAAAGCAAATTTTCTATATAATAAAAACTTGTCCCTTTTAAATGTTTAATTTTATTTTAACCACTTAGTTGGAAATCTTTAATATGTTGTTTTCTTTTAAAACATAGTACATTTGAACATAATTCAGCTTTTAATGCTTTGGGGTTGATGTTGTAAACATTAAAGAAAAAATCATAGGTATCATAGTGAAGCCCTCTGGGAAGACTGAGATGTTAGGGCTTTTTCCCCCTCATCCTGAAAACTCCTGACTGCTAGACTTTTAAGAGTTTTTTGACTGCTTATAATTGCTTCACTGTCTCATTCCTTAATGATATAGTATTCATTTTTACATTGCTGTACCTATGTGGCCACTTAACATCACCTTCCATTGCCCCTTTGACTCTTTTTTTGTTTTGTTGTGGATTAGGACTACAGAGAACTAAAGTTACTAGAAATGTATGAAAAGTTTTAGTAGACTTAATTCAGTCTCAGTGCATTCATGTTAGTGGTTCTCGTGGCTCTGCATTAGATCACCCATAGGTCTATTCCAGTTATAAATACACAGGCCCCATGCTCGGAGATTCTAATTTAGGGGATTTCCATTTATACTAAAAGAGTCCAGGGTGATTATGGTTTACTTTGTTGTTTTTTTTTTTTTTTTAAAGATCACCTAGTCTTTTTTTGTTGAATTTATTGTCCTGACTTTAATGTCATGTCCCTGCAGTACTTGGCGAGGTCAATTTTCACCCTCTTTTTATTGTTCTTTGCAAAACCTCACATAAAATAGTCTACCCTTCCACCATATTTAACACTATTGTAAGAAATGAAATTGCTTTCCTACTATTCTGGTTCATTCTCTTTTAACACTCTTTGCATACTAAAAAGGTTGCTCTCAGCTTTTCTTGTTTTCCAAACTTTATAATAATAACAACTATTTTTATAGTGCTCTTACACACACTAGTATGTGCCAGGCACTGTTCTAAACACTTGATATCATTAACTCATTTAATCCTCACAACTCTGAGTACTGGTTTTTTTCTTTTTGAATTTTATTTTATTTATTTTTTTATACAGCAGGTCCTTATTAGTCATGTTTTATACACATCAGTGTATACATGTCAATCCCAATCGCCCAATTCGTCTCCCCCGCCCCCGCTGCTTTCCCCAATGGTGTTCATACGTTTGTTCTGTACTTCTGTGTCTCTATTTCTGCCCGGCAAACCGGTTCATCTGTACCGTTTTTCTAGGTTCCACATATATGCATTAATATACAATATTTGTTTTTCTCTTTCTGACTTACTTCACTCTGTATGACAGTCTCGATCCATCCACGTGTCTACAAATGACCCAATTTCGTTCCTTTTTATGGCTGAGTAATATTCCATCGTATATATGTACCACATCTTCTTTATCCATATGTGTGTCGATGGGCATTTAGGTTGCTTCCATGACCTGGCTATTGTACATAGTGCTGCAGTGAACATTGGGGTGCATGTGTCTTTTTGAATTATGGTTTTCTCAGGGTATATGCCCAGTAGTGGGATTGCTGGGTCATATGGTAGTTCTATTTTTAGTTTTTTAAGGAACCTCCATACTGTCCTCCATAGTGACTGTATCAATTTACATTCCCACCAACAGTGCAAGAGGGTTCCCTTTTCTCCACACCCTCTCCAGCATTTGTTGTTTGTAGATTTTCTGATGATGCCCATTCTAACTGGTGTGATGTGATACCTCATTGTAGTTTTGATTTGCATTTTTCTAATTATTAGTGATGTTGAGCAGCTTTTCATGTGCTGCTTGGCCATCTGTATGTCTTCTTTGGAGAAATGCCTATTTAGGTCTTCTGCCCATTTTTGGATTGGGTTGTTCGTTTTTTTAATATTGAGCTGCATGAGCTGTTTATATATTTTGGAAATTAATCCTTTGTCCGTTGATTCATTTGCAAATATTTTCTCCCATTCTGAGGAGTGTCTTTTCGTCTTGT